CATGCTCGAAGGTGGTAATCAAGTTGGTCGTCAGCCTCCTTTTGTCTCTAATAAATTACTCTAACTTGACTCTTCCTTAAATGTCTGATCTTCCTTAAAGAACCAATTTTTCAACTAATCTACAGCCTGGCTGCTGCTTTCTGAGCTTTTAGTTGTGACAAACAATATACCGACAAAAGAATGTTCAGTGTAATTTTCTGTATTATGACTTGCGAAGCATTTCCAGTTGTTTTTCCCCATCAAGGTACTCGGGGACCAGCTGGTCTACACACAGCACTAATGGATACTATCGTAGTGTATTGTGGGGCTTTCATTACCCAAATCTTCCCCCCCCAAATGCTTTTCTTATTTCCTGAGAATATAATAAACACAACAGGTAGGGACACTAAGACTAGGTGACTTCTCAAAGCCTTCCTGCCACAACTGAGCTATCACAGAGGACTTTGGACAAGGTACCTTGGGGTCTCAGTTGTATTTTTTGTACTTTTCCTGGTGGAGGAAAGTTGGTAAATGTGTCAAATGCTGCTGCCCTTAGAAAGTACATCTTGTGACCCGGTATTCTAGATATTTGCCTGATTTGATTTTTCTTTTCTTAAGAAACAACAACCATTTATTGAGCACCAACTAGTGCTAACCTATGACCATTGTCACCCCTACTTTACAGGTGAGAACCTGAGGGTAGTAAGGATTTAAGCAGCTTGCTCAAGGTCACGTGGCTGGTTAGGAGGCAGCTGGCATTTGGGGCTGGCTGGCTTCCGAGTTTGTGCACTTAATCCCTGTTCTGTGCTGCCTCTCGGACACCACCACGCAGGGCAATTGAGGTTAAACCGTTACCACAGCCCCACACGCCAGATATTTTACCATTTCCACTTGATGAAATTGCAACTCCAGAAAGTAAAATAACTTGACCAGGTTTAATTCTTTTTTACTGGAGTGAAATTCAGAAAAAATGGACACGCCCCTCTGTGCTCATGTTTTCTCCTCCAGCACCAGGGCATTCGTGGCCAATCAGGCTTATGAAAAGGTGCAAGTGTGCAGCTCAGAAAGAAGCAAGAAATAGATTTACTTTTGATCAGATCTTGAAGGGGCAAATTGTGAAACCTTGCCAGTGCCGATATGAGTCTAGGTGTAAAAGATCACAGAGCTCGTTGAACGATAGTGTTCCCTTAGGTCTCCATCACAAGCTGGTGACCTGGAATATAAACTCTGCTGACTCTTGGAGGGCCAGGTTCATTTTATGAATGAATACATGGGTGCTGATTTATTCTGCCTGATTTCAGTTCAGCCTGGCAGCCTCAGAAAACACAGAAGTCAGACAGATCTCTACTCAGGCCCAACTTCTGGACAAGGCCACTTTATGCTCAGGTAGCCCAAGCATGGCCTGCGCCTCAGTTGCCGCATCTAACCCAAGCACACAGAGCTGGGCAAGTGCCTGTGGAAGACCGTTCTTCCCATCATTCCCTGTTCTACACTTTTGTACATAGGTCTGGGTCTAGATGAATGAGATGTATAGCATTTTAATAAATATTAATAACCATTTAATCTCAGAAAACCTTTCATGTGAGACATTCAAATCACTTCCCAGTCATCTCAGGCCCCTGGTGAGAGCAAAGCAATCACCTTGCAAGCTGTGCCAACCCTTCCACGCCTTTTGGGCCCCAATCGTGCTGGGTCTGTGTGACAGGAAACAGGTTTGGGGAGAAAGCAAACAGGTCCTTAGGTGGGCGTGCAGGCAGGTCTCCCATTTGCAAATACTGTACTCCAGTCTCTGGCTCTAATTTATGTACCACCTGTGCTCCATTCCTTCTGTAGTGGAATATTTGATATTATTAGCAATAATACTAGAAGCTAAAATCTACAGTGCTTCCTGTGTGCCAAATAATGAGCTGTGTTCCTTCAATGCATTTTGTCATTCAATCCTCCCAACCACACTGTTAGATAGACATCATTATCATCCCCACCTTACAGATGAGGAAACTGAGTCTCAGAGAGGTTGCTTGTCCAAGGTCATATAACCAGTAAACAACATGACAATATCCAGATTCAAACTGAGGTTCACTTGCATCTAATGATACTTGGCTGCCAATTGGATAGCCTTATCATTACCACCTTTTTGTTAAAATCAGAATGGTTTGGAAATGATATTGTACAGTTTTTAAAAAATTGGGGCAGAAGGGAGAGGAGAATGAAAGAAAGAGAGCAAAAGGTCTAGTTAATTGAGAGCCTACAAAATGAATTTTAAAATCCCTTCCTATCTGTAGGATTAGGATGAATGAGGTGCACATTCATGAGCCATTAGAGCTGGAAGGTACTTCTGGTTCAAGCTTCTTATTTTATACACAAGGAAACTGAGGAATAGAGAAGTGAAGTAACTTGATCAAGGTTATCATAATCATAACATTTGGATTATTATTATTTGTTTCCTCTTCTTAACACACATTTTAGGATATATACAGACCAAATTCTAATACAAAATAAAATATTTTACTATGGTTCATTTTTTTGATGTGTACATCACCACTTACTGATATTCTCTGCATCATCTGTCTTAGCAGATGGAAGTTCCAGAACACTGACAACAACTAAGCACAAATGAAATCAGCATGATTATCCCCCAGAATCATCGAAACTTTCCTTTTCAAAATCCAAAATGTTAATGTGCCATTCTTGGGAAGACAACTGTTCCCTCTAGTTTAACACGAACATCCTGTGTCAATGGTTTGTGTGTCTCAGAGGGAATTAGCCTATGGTGGATGAGAGTTGGCTGTTTGTGTGTTTGCACCATTGTCGGACAATGGACTGCACGATGGGGTCTTCACTGGCAAGGACCATGTGTTCTCATCTTTGTCCTCAGTGCTTCAGTACGAGTCCTGGAACAGTCTATACTCACCAAATGTGTGTTGAGGGAATGATATAGATGGATGAATATAAATACCTGGAAATCTTTCTCACTGATGGGAACAATGTAATGAGAGGCTCATTATTAATTGTGATAATTATGATATAATATATGATGAATATGATATGTTATTCCATATCATTATGGAATATCAGGCCAAGATGCGGACCTGACCAAACTCCAGACTGATAGTGTTAAAACATTCAAATACCTTTCCGGAGTTAGATTGCCCTACCTCAGTGTATCAACTAGAAAATAGCCAGTGGTTGCTAAGGTGTTTTACACTATTATTTTTAGGAGGAAGAGTAGCGACACGAGGCTGTGAAGAAGCATCCTAGAAATTTCTTTTAATAGTATTGGGGGAAGGTACTTTGATATATTGTTAAGATAAACCTGTGTCTCCCCAAGAAACATAAAAGTTTCAATGATGATATCTCTGTGACAGCTCAAGTCATGGATGATGTTTCAAAGATTGATTCATTCATTCTTCCTCATTCAACATTTATTGGGTATAGTGCCATGTGCCAAAGAGATAAACATGAAAACGACACAGTGCCCTGCCCTCAAGGAACATGCAGTCTTGGGAGGAGGGGTAAGAATACACAAAGTAAGCACACGATTACAATGAAGTTAGCTGAAGAAAACTGGCCCTCAAGTCAGACCACCAGGACTCAACTCCCACTCCATACTGCACTAGCTGTGTGACACTGAGTGAGTTCTCTCACTTCTCAAAGCCTTGTGTCAAGTGTAAAATAGGGGTAATAGTAATAGTAACCATCAAGCAAAGTTCTTGGGTGGATTAAATGAAATAATATATAGTAATGCTTAACAGAGTATGTGATAATATTCAAAAATATTAGCTGTGATAACAGTGGTTCTGACACCTCTGTTGCAACTGTGTTAATAGAAATACAAACAGAGGAAGGGCAGGAACCCTGACTAAAACAGGGTTAGGGGAGTAGATGAAGACTACCTTCCTCAAGAACCACAAGGATGGCTGTGAATCAGTGGGCAGACTGTGTCAGGATGGTTGGAGTTGTGGTGGGGATGGTTGGTCTTTCCTTCAGGTGTCTGATGGGTCCAGTCCAAAGGGTCAGAGGCATGGAAAAGCCTCAACTGCTCAAGGCAAGGCTTGTGCTCCCAACCAACTGAACCAGAAAACATGAAGAAAGACAGAGGATGAAGCAGAGCAGGAGATGTAAAAGGCAGATCGTAAGGGGCTGCCTTTACCTTGAGGGCCTTGCAGGACACTGAAGAAAGAACTTCAGGGCAGTGACATAACAGAACTTTGGGATGGTCACCCTGGCTACAGCACAGACTAGAATGGCTCAGAGGAGACCAGACCAGAGGCAGGATTGCTGGTTTGGGGGCTGCTGCAGTAACGTGAGAAATAATGAGAACCTAAACGAAGGCAATAGCAATGGGAGCAAAGAGAAGTGAAGAGATTTGAGAGGTGTTCAAGAAGAAAGGGTAGGACTTGGCAATTAATTAGATGTGAAGACCAAAGCAAGGAACGGTCAAGTTGGACTCCCAGATTTCTGGCTTGAGAGACTGGGTGGATGAAAGAGCAGGTGTAGGAGAGAAGCTGCTTTCAGTTTGGGACATGTCAAATTTGAGGTTCCTTATAGGACTTTCATAGAAAACTGTTTAGCAGGCATTTGGATGGAAAGGTCTGGCACTCAGGAGAAATAAAAGTTATTGAAGTCATGGAGAAGATCCAAGAAATTTTTTTATGCATTGAAAACACTTGATTTAAAGCCATTGATTGAATCTGTTTTTGTTATTGTTGTTAATGATGAGAACACTAAAGACAGAATATGTGGTTCTTCTAGATCAGCTTTCAATTTTATTAAAATAAATGACTCACTGATTAATAGAATGATGACCTGTAGGTCTCTTACAACTCTAATGCTATGATCGTATTGTTGTCTGGAATAGACTTTTGATGACAGCACACCTGTAGCCTGAACTTCCTTTGTGAGTGTGTGGAATATATTTTTTAAAGTGAAAGCTCATTACCTGTAAAGCCATACAACCCCAAACATGCAATGATTATGCTCATAGAAAAGAAAAACCAAGTAAAGACACTATCTACATTTACCTACTCTGATCCCAATTGGCTGCAAACAGCAGAAGAATCTTCCTGCCGTAGTGGTCACGGTTTTCCAGCACCCCAGGGAACCCATCGATCAGAGCCCTCTTAATGCCAGGATCATCCGCCTTGAAGTTTTTGAACATGTCCAGGTTTAGCTGGCGGTACTGGAAGTACTGGGCCAGGAGTCTAAAGGCATCCACTTGGTGAAACTTCCTGGCTCGAAGAAATCTCAGGATGAAGGCATCATCTGTACGTAAAAATCCAATGTCAGGCCTGGTGATGATCATGTCCCGGACTTGCTGAATATCCTGATGTAAAACGTCTGGGTTTTCATTCAGTTCCAGGCGTGCTTTCTCTATAGTCTCTGGACTGAGTCCAGCCTGTAAATGGGTCATCTTGGCCAAATCTCCTTTCCAAGTGCTTAATTTCTGGTATCTTGGAAGAAGAGAGACTCGTCCCATTCACCTGATGGTCTGCTGAAACCGTGGCCCATTCGACAGTTGTTTTACTACCAAACTGCTGCTGGAACAGACAAATATGGGGTCTTCTTTCACATCCAGGCCCTATGTGGTGGTGGCCATCCGAAAGAGAAGCAAAACTGAGGCCATTGCTTACTGAAAAACAAATGCACACAAGAGAAACAAAACAAAGTGATACAAAGAAAGCCTGGGCAAATTAGTCAGAGTTTAGATAGAAAAGCAGTGTATTAGGCTGCAGCTCTGATTAGATTAGGTATCCAAAGAATAAATGGTAAATTATCCTTAAAATGGAGTATTTAGCAAAAGTTGATTATTGACAACTTGAATTCATAATGTGCAAATATTAGAAATATGTTTGGGAACTTTTTTGTTTCACTAGTTCTAGTGTCCAGTCAGATTAGCAATAAAATGCACTTTTATTAATTATCCTAAGAAGCAGCAGGAGGAGAGAAAGCTCCTTCTCTGTTACAGCATGCTTTATGGGGCTATTCCCAGGCCTAGCTATGGCAGAGAAATCATAGCTGCCGTACAACTTATTGCTTCCCATTAACCTCTCAAGCAGAAGAATCTTTCACAGAAATAGCCCCTCCACCACTATTTTTAAAGGCAGCCATTTGCATCTTAATAATGAAAAGGACTGTTAAAGGTCACCCCAGCCTAATCCCACAAGTACCTCCTGACTCAAAGGAGTCCACCAGCATGTGTGGGGCCTGGGAGTGAAAACAGGCTGTGGCTGGAAGCTTGACCTTCAATAATCAAATTCAACGACAAGGAGAAAGGAGGCTTACGCGTGGACATTTACAAAGGGCTTTATTATTTGCGTTTGTCACCCTTCTGCAAGGAAGGCAAAGGGACTTGCAACTCTTGATTGACGCTCTACCTAACCGAATATCCATATGAGCTTAAATATCATTCCATTTTATATAATTTTCTGTTGTCCTGAGATACTGTTTTACTTGTGATAATGATCGTTTCAATCCCTTCAGCTGTATCCATTGTGATTTCTCCACTTAAATGGTATACAGAGAAACGCCCATAATGTTTACATCTTTCTCATTTTACATGTAAATGTTTATACTCTCACAGACATCTGTTTGGTCTAACCTGGAAGTTCCAAAAATCAGAAAACATATTAGATGTGCATAAACTTGGAGGCATGTATTTTTTCCTAGCTTTCCTAGGTCAGTAGTATCTGCGATCAAGGCAGAATATTTTCTCTCAATCTAGTCATTGTTGGTAATGCTTTATCATATGAAATAATTTAAAAGACAAAATGATCCTCTGTTTAATTTAGGATGAACAGAAATTTCTTAAAGGAGACAATCAACTCACACATTTCTGCTTTACATTGCCTTTCAGATATGGCGGAGATGAAAGACACTCCAAGTAACTGGTATTCATTTTCAAAATAATGGAATAAAAATAATTTTATTTCTAAAGTGTTGGCTTTATAAAATAATTTGTAAGAAAATCACATTTAACTCTGTAATGTGAAACAAGAAACCAAAAAGTCTTGCTTCTCACTGATTTTAAGGACCCATAATAGTAAAGAAAAACAGTACTATGAACTATTCCCAGGATTGGAAGAAACTTCAAAATCTAAGTAGTTCGATGCCCACCTGATGTCAAAATTCCTTCTCCAATAGCCTCGCCACACCCCTTCAGAAAGCGGCCTCACCCGAGGTCTCTCTCCTCCAATTCATCCCGACACCCACTGTAGTCTATCTTCGACATGCGGCTGAAACTGCTCACACCAACCACTGACAGGGATGATGATACAATCTATTATTCAAACTTAGGCACTAAAGGGTACTAATAATAATGCTGGAACAACAGGCACCAATTGGGACAGATCCAAGCAAACCCAGACAGATGGTCACCCTACCAGTGAATGACATTTTTGTTGCTACTTCCACTAGACAAATTTCAGGACCTATTGTGGGTGACCTCTCTCAGTCTTTGACGTTCACTCCTTCATCCTTCTTAGATCTCTTTCTCCCATTCTCCCATTCTCCTCTGTGACTCCATACACCCTGAGTTTTCTCAGAGCCCTTTGTCCCTTCCCTCTCCATCTTCTCTTTCTGTGCTCACCACTTCAATGCCAGTGTTTTCCAGGATCCTGTCCATGATTCCACCATCCACATGTGGGTGACTTTAGTCTGTAGCTTCCTCTTGATCTTCAGGCTACACATTCAACTGTCTACTCAACATCTCCACTTATGTATCCCACAGACACCACAAATTCAATGTGTTCAAAGCTGAACTCATCATCATTCCTCATCCAGAATTTGCTCCTCCACCTCTGTCTCTTAGTGGATGACATCATCTTCCATGCAGTTTCCCACGCTAGACACCTGGGAGTCGACTATTATTCCACCCTCTCACTTACCACCCACCACCAGGCAATCGCTTCCTTAACATTTTTGAAATTTGCCCGATTCTTTCCATCCGCATTATCACTGTCTTTGTCAGACCACATCGTCACTCATCTGTGTAGTCCTACAATGTTCTTGTAGGACGTTGCTGCCAACCCATTTGCTGTACTACAGTTGAATTATGCTCTTCATCGATCCTTGACTAACACCCATGATTAGCTTCTAATTGTCCTAGGATAAAGCATACAACTATGCATCACGGTTTCCAAGACCCCCATCATCTGGGCCTTTTCTGTCTCTCCAGATTCAACATCTGGCCACACAGCCACTTGCAGTTTCTTCTCACCTTTGCATGCCTTGGTAAAGCTGCCCTCTCTGCCTAGAATAAGCACTGATTCACTCCCCTTTGCCCTTCAGGGCTTGACCTGAAAGTCATTTACCGCAGGAAACCCTCCCTGTCCTTCAGGGATCACAGGATCTCCACAGTCCTGGCCACACTACATTTTACCACCATTTTCTTTTCTCTTTATGTCGAACACCTTACAGAGAAGGGGTGGGGATCTCATTTGTCTGTGTATCCCGGTACAATGCCTGGCACAAAGAGGGTCAGCGTCATGAGCAGAGCCACTTCACTGTGTTCATGGCCACATCCTCAGTGCCTAGCGCGGTGCCTGCCACGGGGCCGGCACTCAGTAAACAGACACACAATAAATGAATAAAGAAGGTAGTCAAAGTGTTGTTTGAATAAGTGAATAGGTGGTTTTGCCCTCTGATTGAGGACCTCTAGGACCATTTTTTCTTAAATGAATAGTAGCAGCTAACATTTAATTTCCCCCAGTACCTACAAAGTATCCCCTGCTAGAGATTTTAGCCTGAGTGCAGTGTGCTTCAGAGCCTCCCTGACACAGGCTGGGTAACGGTCACAGTCCCAAGCCCTGCTTACGGCACAAGTCATGGCCACCGCTCATTCCCTACAGAAGATTTAAAGCTTGCAGCAAGTTACTTACCTTCCAGTTCAGGGAACTCAATGATGTTTCCAGGATAAATTACTATGGATCCAAGGGGAGAGTGGAGGTTGCATTTTTCATGGCCCACTTCCACGCCACATAGCTATGCCTCCAATCTATAATATCAGAAATAAATTTGCTTCAATCTACATCTTTATTATGTGCTCAGCAAACAGTACAAGCTTCTGAGGAGAAAACCCAGGTCACTGGGTTTCATACTGATGATAAAATAGATATTTTCCATTACAGCAAATCCTTCATACCAGAAGTCTGAATAGACTGCTACTTAAATAACAACTTCAATTGGTAATATTTCAGGCACTAGAAAGGCCCTATGAAGAATGTTCACCAGGATGCAGCATTTTCAATAGACTATAATCTTTTGTTCACATGAAAAACTTGATTCTCACTCAACTTTTCTGAATTATAAAAGGATACACTGGATTTGGTATCACATGAAGAAGTGAGAGTGGTTTTCTGTCCTGGCAGTATTAATAATGATAATAGCTATTATTATATTATTACTTATTATAGCTGTGTATTATGTCCCAGGCACTTGCACATTCTCTTTTTATAGACTGCAATATTTAATCCCTAGAAAAATTGTATGAAATGAGTATATTATTGTCCCCATTTTTTCAAATGAGGAAAGTGAGGAACAGAGAGGTTAAATGACTTGCCCAATATTACACAGCTACTAAGAGGCAAAAAGTGGATTCGAGCTGAAGCAATTTTTCTCTAAACCCGTGCTCTTTATTCCTGTACAGTCCTGCTTCTTACATGTAACAGAGATATTTTATTATTTACCTACTTAAGATCTATGTGACCAGAAGTTACGTCAGCTTCCCTCTCAGAACCTCATTCTCCTTTACTAAATTCCCCTCGGATTTACCATTGTATAAGCCTAAATATGCCAATGGGTGAGCAGATTTTTCTCAGGTAGCCTAATACTGTAACTTACAGAAGCCCACTTGTCATCTTGTCCTCGTTTCTTCATTGGAAGGTGATTGCAGCTGTTCAAAATCTATCTGTCTATGGCCTTTCCAGCTATCACTAATTTTTGCTTTTCCTTTATGTGTTTTCCTTTGGCAAAAACGACAGATCAAAGACTCTGCCATTCTATCTGAAGGATCGATACCCGGCCATGCCTAGCAGAGTGCCAAGCATGGCATCAGCATTGAAATGTACTTGATGACCAAAAAGGGCACTTAAGGCAGATTCACGTGAGCCTCAGAAATCATCTCCCTGCATTGTGGTTGGGTCCCCAGTGATTCTGTATTTAGAGACCATTTCAAATACATGGACAAAAACTCTCGAGCACCCTCTGGGGTGGCCAAGGTAGAAGATACCTTCCACTCTACTCCATGGCTTTTCTCATGAACTAGAAATTTAGGTAGTAACACTTTTGTATGAGAAGGAAGAAAAAGAGTCTCCATATCATGATATTTAAAACCATGGCATCCACAGATTCCAGATTCACACCTCACCTCAAGTTTCCATTAGGAAAAAAAATCTATGTGTGTATTTCCTCATTCAGAATTCGATCTTAAGGAAGTGCACCTATGAACACACCATAGTCTTTGAATCAAAGAGTCTAAGTATAAAAATCTTTTTAGAAAGTATGGTTATTCAAATGAAATCTATTTGAGTAATTGCATAAACTATTATTTTCATTTATTTTGTTATCATCTTTAGAAACACACATAAAATACATCAGGAAAAAAATCAGACTAATGATAGCAATGCCTTATCT